GTTTGGTACTGGGTTACAGGGAGTCCGTTTTAAGAAGCATGCCTCATTTCAATCGCCAACCTAGAGAAGTAGAAGACTGCATTCGTTCGTCCCTTCTCATTGACCACCCAGGTATGGCTGTAGGTTGTGGAAGATAAAACGCAGGACGGTACAAGTGATTGCTGAAGTGCACAAACCAGCGCACCGTGTAAGTTTCAGTCTCCTATACTAGTATCACTTATCGCTAGAACGAAGTACTCTGTCCCCAACCATCGTTTACCATTGTGCATACGTAAGCGACTTAATTCCTGTGAAGTCACTTGATGGAGTTCCGAAATATTTCACACGGTTAAGATAAGCTGCGTACACAACTGTCAGTATGGCGAAAGAAATTATTTGGACTAGAAGTTAACGCGGATTCACACATTCCGATTGCGACTATTATGCTCCCGAACGACCGGTGAAAGATGGTCCGGAGAATAAGTAGCAGAGAACAGCCACAACTCACTAGAATTGCGAAAAGTCTAGGTGGCATGCCTTATATTAAAAACTGCGAAAATGTATGGGACCTGCATCATCACGTTTAGTGACAAGCTTACACGTATCGATTAACGTAGATTAAAAGCGACGCCCATGAAATTATATGCATTCGATAGGATGAAGAATGATCGAAGGCTTTCCAATTGAATGCAATTAAAAGCACTCCTACTTGCGACGAGTATTTAGGAAGTAGGATAAAACGTTGGATTTATGGTGCAGCCGTATTCAGACGATAAAGAATTGAGGGTGCAAAAGTGTCCGTGTGACTGCTTAACTCGTTAGAGCGCCATTGAACGCATAATTTGTATGGTTAGGTCACTTGACCATGATTCACTGCTAAGCGATGGTATTAACAGCTGGCAAAATGAACGTGCGTTCACATTCCGTGAATGGAATAATTAATCGTGAAACGAATACCGCAATCTGAATCGATGTGTTGTAGGTGTCTGACAGTTTTTGAGCAGCAAGTGTGATGCGATCAGAACGATAAGCTTGGAATTTTGTTTAGAGTCATAATGTCAGGGTCATGAATGTACGAAGTATGCTTAAACATCAATGACGAGCGAATTGTTTTGCATCAAAGCGGCGTAGGTCTGATCGATTTCGCAATACTGTACGATAGTTCGAACAGTTGAGCATGAGCTATCGCAGCCATGCCGCATAAAGGGTTCAATTGTTAACATGAAGAAATGTATCTACGTCTGGGACTAAAAACGCTTTGTTACGCAAGCAGAGCAAGCCAAAGCATCGCGTCCGCGTTCATTCTTATTCTAAAAACCCCAAGACGACACTGTCCGTGTTGAGGGACCCGGCAGTATGCTTCAATCTGCAATCCCCAAAAGATGGCGCAAAACAACACATTAGGTTTAACTGATATAGTTCTCGTAGCATGTGTGAGCTCCCCGAAAATACGAGAGCTAATGATTTGGTGCATTATGTTGTTAGCGTGTATTCTAGCGAAGGTATTACATAAAAGGCTTTTAGCTAGTTTCGACTAGTTTCTCCAGCTCATTAACTCCCTACTTTCCTTATATGCATCTCTTGTCCCAAGGGTGCAACAGTATACAGTGAACGACGAGCAATATGATATGCCACCAATTTAGTTATCACTCATTTTGGATTAATTGAACGTATTAAAGCTGGATGTAGGTGGTTTGGGCTTGAGGTTACCTCTGTGTGTGCCTTTGTGGTTTATCGGTAGATTGTTGTTACTCTCAAGACGCGTAGTTCTCGATGTTCGCTGGTCAGTCATCTACTTACGATGGACGCCAATGTGTGTGTAAACCGTCATGCACCAACGGCCCTTTTCTATTGTGGACATGTGAACGTAACCTAAATGGCCCACATACAGGTAGACCAGAAGAATATCCTCCTCACATAAATATCAGGCTTGATATCTCATGGGCAAAATTGCTTGTTTGATGCACACGTCTCTCATCATGATGATACCGGCTGATTCGATTAATGAATCGTACAGTGGCCACAAAATGCACGCGGAGCGACCGATTCAGTCCTGTTATCAAATGTTCGGTGAAGGGTGAGATAGAGCGAGTAGCCTGTAGGAAGGATCAGAAGTTATTACACCATCGAGTCCTAGTAACTAGCACAGAAAAGCATTTTAAACCGACAGTTAGGTATTGAGAGGCACCACCATGATAAACTGTAATGGAAACCACCCCAGAAAATTCAAATTAAATTGCCTTTTTCGGTGGGGGCAGCGAGAGCCAAGCATTATGTAAGTTCATTACGAAACCATGAGACATGGTCAGGTTAAAAGGTACGTATCGCACCAAATGTGCCCTGGTTGAGGAAATCACAGTATTTGCTGTTGTTTATGTCAGACGGCCGTTGCACTGGACGTCTAAAAAGTGCTAACAGAATCGTTACTCATGGTGGCATCCACCATATATGGTTGCGCATATGTTCCCATGTAACTGTTGAGCATACAGCGGTGATTGGTCACATGAGAAATGGTCTGCAAAAGAAAACAGGTATACAACCCTTAAATGAGGTTATGTAGGTGTACTTCACTAACGGTGGACAGAATAAGATGTGTGTGGCCGATCTTAGAACCGTAAAATCTGTGCGGGTACATCTACACCCCTTAGCAGTTGGGTGTTGCCAAAAATGCAATTCAGCGGGATTTGGTTCTCTACATTGCGAACTTATTTCAGACCGTTTCGGTAGTTTTAACTTCATCTATATAGTCGCATATAGATTCTTGGTAATGGTACTGAGGAGACAATTCGAAATGCATGCATCCACTGGCTTTCGTCTTTTTACCGCATTGTTCAAATCATAACTTTATCGGAAAGCCCAGCAAAGCGGAAATGTTTTCCTTCACAAATGCGTTCGTTCAAAGATAGGTGAAACTAAGCTCATTATCAGTAACTGGTGTTTGCCGATGAGGGAATTGTCAAATTATGTGAAATGCACCATGTAAAAACGAGATGCACTCTTCACTTCGGAAGGACTCGACATTTTATAGCGGACAGCGGTGCTTAGTTGCGACCATTAACAAAAGCATTTCTTTGTGCATAATCTGCATTGAAATGAAATGACTTATTTTATCCTCATATTGTTGCCGGCAATCACATATACATGTACTATTATGCATCCCTTTCCACAAGTAGCCAGTTGATGCGCTAGCTATTTTGTCGCTCATTTTGCCGCCCCACTTCACGTCGCATCTACTATAGCCCATGTGCCTGATCTAGTCCAGCCACCTCCTATCAGCGTGCATTTAACCTGTTATCTACCAGTGCCCTATACAGGGAACAGCTTCAAATAGGTTGAAACCTGGCGTACCGAAGCATTCACATAGTCCGGAACACATTCATAGCTGATTCTAAGCTGTATGACTTATACTTCCGCGCAGAGAGCCATATCATCCGGGGAACCCAAACGACAAAATCAGTATGAGGAAAATAGGTTAACAAATAATTATTTGGAGGAAAGCGGTTCAATTACCTCCTCCCGTAGTGGTTCATACCGGCCACACCGTCCGGAAGCGTACTTGCATTTCTTTCAACTGAGGTTAAGCAATAGTCCCTAACAATCATTTTGAACCACAAGCCTTCCATAACTAGAGTAATAGGAATGCGTATGCAAAACCCGAATGCCGCATTAAAGTCTGCTGTCAGTTTTCTATTTTGGTACGCCAGTGACGGCGTCTGTCATATTTAGGTGGTGGTGTGTTGACCTAATCTACGTACTCCGATAATGAAACAGAAAAAGTGTTCAGGCAGTTTCTTGCATCCAAAACTGCACTACCGAAGCCAGTGAGTAATGGGTACTTCGGCGTCTGTATAATGAGGTGCCAGAGTGCGTCTTGATCTCGTACTTAATAGAGGCACGCGACTCCTATTGACTATACATTTTGTACAAGAAGGATTTTTTATATACTTCAGTGTTATCTGGTTACTGGAGAAACCGAAAACTGGTGAAGCGTAAGGTACATTACTTTCCTGATAATGTGCCGTTTGATTTTGTCTTCATGCTGAAATAGCTGATGAAGAGACTCGAACTATGGGATTTATGGTTTTCAGGTAGCTCTTCAAAGTAGCTACGGAGTTGTAGCGTATCGCCTCTCACCTCGATCACAGACACATTGCACGTATTCTGAGTTCGGACTAGGCAGTATGCTGGTGAGACTTTCGCTCTTTCTTATCACTTGGACCGTATCTGAAGTGAATAAAGTGTGCACATCGCCTGTATTCTACAAACCGCCCGCAGCCAGTCTGATCTTGGTCTACTTTCCCAGTAGTGTTAACAACAGTAGGGCTTGGTCCTAACTCATAAACGAGTTGTCGGTAGACCTGACTCCAAAAGCGTTACTTGTCACAACGATGTCGACTTACTACTAACTTCTTGCAAGTTCTCTATCCGGGCGATGAAAATGGAGTCTACTTCAAAGCAAACTGCGGCTGAAATTTTGACTACGTGTCACAATCCAAGCGCACAGCGAGTATTCCCCATTTCAATACTTAATCCCTGACCACTGTGCCAAGCTTTCATCGTGCAGCTTGATGTACTGTTGAACAAAGTGTGCAGGGTTACATGCCTAGCCCCGAATATCGCTGCCTGAAGATTCCAAACAAGAACGAAACCCGAACTTCAGCACTTCGGGTGCGGATAACCAAAGTGCATTTTAATGTAAACCATAGCCCCAATTTAAATTACACACCACAGTAAAGACGCATGACAAGTACGCAGGAACCCAGTTGTGTCAATCATGTACTGGTTCATTTGACCTAACAATGTTTTTGACATAAGCGACTAGAATTGCTTAGCCAGAACCACGGCCAGGTATGGCAAAACCACTCGGAAATAACAACAACTAAGCAGCAAACAACACGTTGATTGACAGTTATAGTAAGTGCTCAACCAGAAATATGCGCATCGATTGGCTTTATGCAAAACTGCCACTATCGGGGTTGTAAAAACAAGTTGAATAAACTGCTTTTTTCATAAATGCTTACCTCCTTTGCTTTAAATCCCGATTAGATCCACGACCTTGTCTTTTCGATTTCACGAGTTCTTGTTCTCAACAACCGGCTTGATGGGTGCCCAGAGTTTAAGGAACGGTCACAGGCATGTGCAACGCAAAAGGCTCGAACTTAACGGTAGAGCTTTTATCACCGTCAGACTGTGGGCCGTTTTCGACTCGATGGTGAAGCTCTTCACATGATTGGTCTTATTGTCCACCAATAGCTGAGCAGTTTGGATAAGCGAACTATGCGCTCAACCGTACCGCATGTGATGTTGATGTGCTCGGATGACTATGTGATTCCAAGTTAGAGACTGCCTAGTGGGGTGTGGGTGGAACGTTAGTCATATCTTCCAACACTTCAACCTATCTAGCAAACCGGTAGAATCGTTACCTTCACTACGGACAACAGCGTTCAGGAAACAGCATCCAGCGGACAATTTCATTTGGAACCTGTGCAAGCGTCGACGGGATACGTGGTTCCACAACGTGGGATGGTACCATCAGTGGTGGCGAAAAGGGAGACTATTAACGCGTTGATGCGAGATCAAAATGAAAGCGCCGCTGACAGGAGGGAATCTGGGATGCTCAGACCGTTAACATCAAGTTTACCACCCCAAAGCTGATCAACCACATCCAAGGAAATGCACGCAATTGTCATAAAACACTTAGCGTCGTATTCATTACCAGGGGCCTCGAGTACTCAAGCAAAACATTCTACAGCAGTAGAAGTGCATACTGGCAATTGTTGATATTTGTCATATGCAAGAAACGCTATGGTGTTTACGTCAGTTGTATCGGTTGCAAATGTTTCGTTGAGCTACTTGCACCTGTCAAATGGGTTACCCGTCTTCTTGAGGCACACTGAGCTACAAATTTGATTGTGCACCCATTATTGCAATAACAGGCGTCGAGACGTTAAGCTTGCCTTGTTTGTCGTCTCCGCCTACGCCCCTACAGACTGCAGCCAGGATGCAAAGATAGCTGTTACCAGCAACTACATGAACTTCTGCGTTCCTCCAAAAGAACTGATATAGTCATTCTTTCCGGGGACTTTAACGCATGGGTTGGCCGCCTTCCACCAAGCGAGCACCACATTGGGGGTAGCTTTAGTCTCGGTGGCAGTCGATCAGACAATGGAGACAGACTGCTTGCTCTTTGCTCTGATCATCGCTTGTTTCTTTCGAGCACTAGTTTTCGGCACTCGAGGAGACACACTGCTACCTGGCGCCCGCCTTCACAAATGCAAGAGTTCTCCCAGCTTGACCACATAGCAATCAGCTACAGATGGCGCGGAAGCGTAACGGACTGCCGATCGTACTGGTTAACTTTTCTAGACTCTGATCACTCATTGGTTCGTGCTAAGATTTGCATGCGTTTCGGAGGATCACCTAAGCGCGCTCGTTACCGACCGGCGGTCGCGAATCCACAAAACCCTGCGATTTTAACCAGCTACCAAGCCTCACTGTCAACCTTGCTTGGCTCAACTATTGACGGTGATCCCGATTCGCAGTGGTCGCATATCAAAAATGATTTAGTTTCCGCCAGTATGGACACTTGTGGAGTTGCCCGTCACCCACCGCCAACTCCTTGTCGCTGATGGACAGACGCCGCTTGATCCCATCGGATTACAGACACAGTGAAGAACGCCAATACCTTGGTCGAGAGTTGCGCGAGAGTCTGCAACTGGACCGCGAAGCTTGGTGGTGTGAACGTGCTAGGGAGATGGAGCTTGCTAGTCTCTGTGGTAATACCAGGAAACTCTTCCATCTCATTCGAGTCACCGAAGGTGTTGAAGCTGGTATAAGGGAAACAATATACGAAGCGGATGGCACCTTAATCACCAATCTCCAACGACGGTTGGAGCGATGGGCCGAACATTTTGGGTCGCAGTTTTGTTGGCTCCCAGTTCCATCTGCTACCTCTGGCGCTCGCGCTGGGGCCGAGTGGTCTACTCCCACAGCTCCTCCCTCTTCCCAGGAAATCGAGCAGGAGCTCCGGCACATGAAGCTTTATAAAGCCCCCGGCCCTGATGGTCTTCCTCCGGCTCTATTTAAAGATGGTGGCGCATCGCTGGTTCGAGAACTCACCGCTTTGTTCTCGAAAATTTGGTCAAAAGAGAAAGCTTCGTCATCTTGTGGTAAATTGATGGTCGTCCCTATCTTCAAAAAGGGCCTGAGCACAATCTGTTCCAACTACAGGGGAATAAGTTTAGTCCCCTTCGTTTGCAAGCTGCTGGTGTCCATCATACTTCGCAGGCTATCACCATACGCGAATCGTTGCAATGAAAAGAACAAGCTGGGTTTCGCCCTGGTCGCGGCCGCATCGATCAAATCTTCACACTTCGCCAGATCCTCGAGCTCCGCCATGTGTATCAGAAGCCAACGATTGCTGTGTTTTTGGATATCCGTGCAGCTTTCGATTCTGTCGATCGTACAGTACTGTGGCACTGCCTACTGAGGAATTGTGTCCCCGAGATGTTCGTCTCTATACTGCGCGCTCTATATAGTCTGACTTCGGGCAGTGTTAGGGCTTATGGCAAGCTTTCGCCTACGTTTGTGGTCTTCAGTGGAGTTCGACAAGAATGCCCTATCTCTCCGTTCCTATTCTACTTTGCCATTGAGGATGTCTTGAAGAACGCTCTAGGCGATTCGTTGAACGCTGGCGTTGAGCTCCTCCCAGGTAGTCGAGTTGTTGATTTGGATTATGTTGATGATATCGTCTTGCTGGGTGACGATCCACATGTCGTCCAACTTGCATTAAACCGCTTGGTGATTGAAGCATCAAAGTACGGTATGTACTTTTCGCCATCCAAATGCAAGGCTCTCTTCCAAGATTGGCAGGTGCCTCTGCCTGCACTCACTCTTGCTGGTGAGACAATAGAGGCTGTGAAGAGCTTTGTCTACTTAGGAAGCTGTATCACTGCTAGCGGGGTACTGGGAGAGGAGATTTCGTTGTGCATCTCGAGAGTACGCCTCGCTTTTTCTAGGCTGGAACACCTGTGGCGTCGCCTCGACATTCGTCTCACCATCAAAGGGTGGGTCTATTGTGCAACTGCTATACGGATGGGTGACCTGACCCATTCGGAAAGATGACTTGCGCAGACTATCCATCTTCGAGCACCGCTGTTTGTGGTTCATTGCCCACGTGTGGTGGTGGCACCACTTAAGCAATGTAAAAGTTAGACAGCGTGTCTTGGGACGTGGAAGCCACTCGTTCGAGGAGCTCATCTCACTGCATCAAGTGAGGTGGCTGGGACACGTATTTAGTATGCCTGTTCAGCATTAACCTCGTCGTGCGTTGTTTGCGGTTGCTGGACAGGGCTGGAGAAGCCGCATGAAAAAGCTGACGAAACAGTTGGCCTCGGCCGGTCATTGTCGACTACCTGGTTGGGGTCCGAGAGATGCGGATAATTGCTGGTTGAAGACCTTGGAAGCCATGGCTCAAGATCTATGTCAATGGCGGACGTGTGCATCAGTTATTTGCGTTCTTTTCTTCATCCCCATAAAAAAGAACAAACTGAAAAATTTCAAAAACTGTGCGCGGTAAAATAGGCAAAAAAGCACTTGTTGTTGCGCTTTTTTTATTTCTGCCTGTGTTCCTATTCAGCCATGATTCCGACGGCATAATATCTGTACCACAGATTGTGTATTATATATATATTATATATTGCAATAAAATATGACGCGTTCTTTAGGTAGGTGGGTTGTGCCTATGCGTAAACAATCTTTAATCTTTTCTTCACTGTGATAGGAAAGTAGTAGCGTGAAGTAGCGTTACGCAATGAATTCAAAATCAAACCACCCTACAGTTTCGTCTTAGGTCATTGTGTGACCTTTTACGCTAAAGGATCTGGGTCAAACATTTTTGGATTACTTGGCGTGATTTCATTCCCAAGTATCCTTTCTTGATGTTTGAGCAATAGATAGGCAAGCACGCACTATGTAGCCCACATATTTCTCCAAGCAGAATAAGCCTTGGGAAGCACGGCTAAAATGGATGGAACTAGATGCATGAATTTAGTATTGTCTTCTCAATGCCACTAACAGTAACAAACGAACAAGCTTTGGGGTGCAAAGTGGATGACGGATGTTCGGCCCCTATGTTCATGGTGGCTTCAAGCCGAAAACTAATTGCTTTTGAACGAAAAGAACTGCATTCACCCAGCTTATCGCCCTGGTTTCGGTGAATAGAATGAGGGAGTGATTAGTGTGATGTGACATACTTGTAAACACTGATACTACTTCTGTTCGGTTTCGCGTGACGACCTATGCGAGCACGGAGGCTTAGCAGGGCAGGGGAACGATGCTGGTCAATATTGCGTTGAACGCACTTTGGCAAGTGTTACTTCATTCCGGAACTCGGAAGCTACCGGTCGTGCCTAGGTAACCGGCTCCGCAGTTAAACGCGAATTGGTAAATGCAGTGTAAGTAGGACTTGATTGACTGACCTTCCTTCATTGGAGGCACAGGCAAAACACAGGTTCGGATAATAGCCACAACTTGTGCAGCACTGTAAATACTGTGCATCGCAAAGAGTAAACATTTAATGGCCTTCAGCGTAGCAAAGTCACCATTGAAAAGCCATTCGATACACATCCTTTTCTTGGCTGCCGTATGCACAAACTCCTTCCTTCGAGGGTAACCATTCACCATAAGTGTAGTTGCCAATAACTCTAGCTCGACAGCCGGACAATTGGTTAAGCAAGTTCGTCTAGCTGCTCATAGATTTCTGGCATATTGACCAAGGTGTAAGCCGTCAAGTACTACGAGTCGGTTTCAATTCTACTGGAAGGTTCTTCTAAAGTTCAACTAACTAGGCATTTGTCTCAACGCTGTTGGAATTGAAGACTAGGTCACGTACCGTATACCAAAGGCACAAGGCGCTTTTGCTAGCCTTCGTCACCTATGGCACCGCTGCGGCATCATTCTCCCGCTGAAGGGTAGCTGTACTCTCAACCCTGCTGTACGGTTGTGAAACCTGGCCCATTAGCTTAGCAGACATAAAGAGGCTAGTTACGTGTGACCACCGGGGTCTCCGCAATTTGGTTCATATCTGGTGGGAACACCGTGTGAGTAATGAGCGTACTCGACGCCTTGTTCATAGCACAGGAAGTGCAATCAAACCGTTCACCACCATT